CACGACACACAGCCACATCGCGCAACCACAGCACACAACCACAACACGCAACCACATGCGGTCGTCAGCGCAAACATGTTCAAACAAACATGCACACCCCGGTCAACTATCTCATGGAAATCCATTGCGCGCAAGAGCGCGCTCCGCCAGTGGAGCGCGGACCAAAACGACCCCGCAGCAAAAGCCACGCGTCCACATGTTCCAAGCTGCGTGCTCCGCTGCTGCGCTCCGCTGCCGGAGCGCGTGTTTGCGTAAGGCAGTGTTGTTGTGGCAAAACGTACAATGCAGAAGGTGAGGGTATGAACAAAATAGAAGGGTTGCTTCGGTTATACAGACATGCGCTACCTTAACTCATGCGGTGAGCCAGCGCGCTCCGGCCGCGGAGAGCGAATGAATCCACTCAAACTTTCCTTCGGCGATATATTCCATGTCCGCAAGCAAAGACACGAATCCACAGCACGCAAGCGCGACGCATAACCACAGCACACGACCACAAACACATAACCGCAAACGCAAACACACAACCACTAACACGCACAATCGCAAAAATGCCAGACAAAACGGCAAGTAGAATTTAGAATATATACCAGATTGAATGTCACAATGTATGTCAGAAAATGCTTCTGTTGTGTGTCCTGTACACCTCTTCTTCCTTTGCCTTTCCTGGACCAGACACCTGACAGGCGGCACGCTGCTGTCTTGCAAGAATGTCAGTCACATCCGGCAAGCAGCAGAATGCGCCAGAAAGAATGCGGAAAGAATGTTTCAATACATGCCAGAAATTTTGTCATGGTGGGCATCACTCGAAGTGAAGTAATTTCCGTCTTTACCGCGGAGGTGGTAGAAAAAGGGCAACCCACAGGAAACGCGGCCAGCCTGCTGCCCAAGCGCAGCAGCGCGCGAACGCCTCCTTCCTTGCTCCCTTGTTAGTTTGCTCAGACCTTGTCCTTCCAGGAAGCTTTTGGCTTGGAGTTTGGGCAGCTTGCGTGCAAGTGGAAGCGGCCTTTTGCAAAACTTCTTGCGTTTTTGTTCCCGAGAGCGCCTGCGAAGGGTTCTTCGTAAAAAACATCTGCAGAACTACACCTCCTCTACACCTTCACATCTTCACGTTCTCACCTATATCTCTGCTCATCTTTACATCTGCACATCTACATCTCTGCTCATCTTCACATCCTCGCATCTACATCTCAGCTCATCTTCATCTTCACACATCTACATCTCTGCTCATCTTCACATCTGCACATCTACATCTCTGCTCACCTTCACATCCTCGAATCTGAATCTCAGCTCATCTTCATCTTCACACATCTACATCTCTGCTCATCTTCACATCTGCACATCTACATCTCTGCTCATCTTCACATCCTCACATCTACATCTCACATCTTCACTCTCGCTCTTCTTAACTTTCTCTCTTAAGGCCGGGGGCAGCGCCGCCGGACCGCCGCGAAACGCAACCCTCTGCGGAGATCGTGCGCGTCGAGTGCGCGAAATGCAGGCGAGAGTGCGATTTGGTTTTGTCGCGGGCAACCCTCTGCGGAGATCGTGCGTGTCGAGTGCGCGAAATGCAGGCGAGAGTGCGATTTGTCCCGGTCGCGGGCAACCCTCTGCGGAGATCGTGCGTGTCGAGTGCGCGAAACGCAGACGCGAGTGCGATTTGGTTTTGTCGCGGGCAACCCTCTGCGGGGATCGTGCGCGTCGAGTGCGCGAAATGCAAGTGCGATTTGTCCCCGTGCGTGTCGAGTGCGCGAAATGCAGGCAAGAGTGCGATTTGTCCCGGTCGCGGGCAACCCTCTGCGGGGATTGTGCGTGTCGAGTGCGCGAAATGCAGGCGAGAGTGCGTTTTGATCTGGCGACTTTCTAGTACAGGAAGATGAGAACTGGCGACTTTGTAGTACAACTTTAGTACGCGGAGCAAGCTGTGGAGCTGGAACCTGAGAACTGGCGACTTTGTAGTACAACTCGAGTACGCGGAGTATCTGGGGAGCTGGAAGATGAGGACTGGCGACTTTGTAGTGCAACTTTAGTGCGCGGAGTATCTGGGGAGCTGGAAGATGAGAACTGGCGACTTTGTAGTACAACTT